CGTTGCTGCTGCCTGGTCTCTGATGAGGACTTGATCAACTCTTGAAAGAGAATCACCGGAAGGACTAGGGGTGTTGACTGACCTGCTGCCTGCTGCCTCATGTCTGGAGGTCCCCCTATTTGAATGTTAGCTGTGGGCAGACCTGGAACATACAAAAAGTAAATCAACATGTTTTGTTTACCGGTTTGATTAATTTTTTTTTTATGGCATCAGCCGGTAAACGAGCAGACGGATCACCTGATGGTAAGCAATCAGCGTCGCCCATGGACACCTGGAACACCAGAGGCGTTACAAGTGCGTTACCGGCCATTAGGGGATTAGGAGTTTGAGGATCGTTGGGGATTCAGGGATTGGGGAGATTGGGGAAGGGGAGGGTCAATGATCCTCCGGTAACCTCACTCACACGACGAAACACAACGCAAGTGTTGCTTCACGTCGGTTTTCTGTGAGGCCGTGGTATCACTCCGGTCGCGCCGGCCCATTCGTACCGAAGCATGGCTCTTCCACACTTAAATTATTTATTCGCAAAAACATGTGTACTTTTGCAAATAAATAATTTGATTTGAATAGATTTAGAATATACGTTTATTTTCCTAGTTAAATAAATATAACAGTAACCTTTATAATAATAATAATAATAAGCCCGCAGGGCACCTTGAGGCGAGGTGACGGGCATTAGCGATCCCGCGGGCTACCATCATCCCGAGTGCTCCAGGGAGAAGTCACCGTTCCTTCTTCTCCGGCTTGCCTTAATTGGCTGGCTGGAGTGAACGATGACAAGGAACAGGTCTCCCACCTCTGGCTTGCCTTCATTGGCCGTCCAGAGTGGAGTCGCGAGAGCAGTGATCCTGCTCGGAGGGTAAGAAACTATTCGTAAGTCGCGAGTGGGCCAGGGATGCAGGAGGCTTCGGCTGGAGCAGATGATCTGAGTAGAAAGCGGTGGTAGTTTCTTAACCCTTCAGCCACTCACATTCTCGTTGCCCCTCTGTTGCTATATCTAGCAACCATTCCCGGGGCCCGGTCGGTGAGTTGGCGAGTCTCCGCCTGCCATTTTTACGTGTAAAAATTACATTGTTTCGGCAGGTGCCATAGTCATCCATAGTTCCCAATTTACCAGTCCACAGCAACCCATCCATAGCCCTACCTTTTTTCCATTATTCACAATAGTTCTACACTAACCGGGGACTGTCCTTGGGTGCATTTCCATAGTGCATACAGGGATAGTCGCCGGTTTATGTGTCCATTACATTTATATTAAAGTTGTCTAAAGGGCCTAGATGCGCAGTTGGCTTCGGCCCCTCGTACGCCTCCCAAATGACCGGGACCCTGTGGTCCCGTGAATGGTAAAGACATACATAATAATAATAATCTTTATTGTACACCAATTTGAGACAGTATATCCAGGATTTTTCCATGATCCAGGACTTTATAGTTAGAGAGATGACGACCAAAATTTTTGTCTCATAGCAATACGGCCAAAACCGCCTCAAATCGATAGATACGATTATCCTGAACTCGAAAATACCAATATCAGACATTTTCCGCGTAGCGTTTGATCTGACCACAAAAACACCAGACAAAAAAAATGTCTCATAGCAATACGTCTGAAAACCTTATTTATTAGTAAATTTTGGTTATTTGATGCAAACAAAACAATTTTCAGACGGAAATGTGAACGCATTAAATATTGAGACCGTTTTGAAAATGTTATCAAATTTTACCGATCGGTATCATGGCAATATGTCTGAAAATTGTTGGACATGATAAAATAAGTTGTCCACATGTGCAAAAAATGTATATCAGACAAAATAAGTGTAGCACCTTCTCTATCAGACAACTTTTCGATACTCAGATATTTTTTGACACCGCAGAAATGGCCTCCCACGCAGTTGCTACACTTTCGACCGTTACTACACACCTAGTCGGGTTCAGAATCATACAATCTAACGATTTTATAGAGTTTTTGCCGTATTGCTATGAGACATGGTTTTGGTCGTCATCTCTCGTACTATTAAACTGTCAAACACCAAGCGGTCACCGGTGACCGCAACCTATTGTTCTATAATTGTGTCTACAAAACCGGTACTCGACGAGTTAAACAATATAATTTTTACAAGGCTAGTAATCAAAGCTTCGACAAGAAAAGTAGAATTGTCTTTACTGAAAATATCAAATCTAGTTATTGCCTAAAATACTAACTTTCCGACTACTTTACATGACTGTTTATTGCTACAATACTAACCTAACCTAACCTAAAATGTCTGTTGTCGGTAACTTAGTAATTTTGTCGGAGGTTCAATATTGTATTCAGAAGTTTAGTTTTGTTATTCGAAGATCCATTTTTGTTGTCGGCCACAGATCGCTGGTGATTAATTTGTTTTTCAAACCATTATTATTTTCCTTTTTACAAGTGCATTTGATATGTATTTTTGGGAAATTTTGTCCGGGAATCTTTTGTAGCTTACTACCTAATTCTTTTCACTCAATTTGATATACAACAATAATTATAAGAAGTACTGAGTTTAACACATTATTCCTCGACCAGTGAGCTTACTCTTGAATCCAATTCCGATCTATCGACATTGGTATTGTGAAATTTCGTACTCTTGAGTTTCAACACTAGCGCCCCTTGCATCCGTATTGCGTGGATATTGAATGAACTAAATGGTATTGAGTTTGGCTTCATATTCCGTACTCGGAATGCTATTTTAACTGCTACGATAGGGGTTGTATCGTTTTGACATTGAATAATTATTGAGATTTTATTGAATTGAAATTGCATTGACATTGAGATTGGTTTCAAGAGTAAGCATACAGGAGTTACTTAGTACTTAAGAGTGAGGTCGTTTGCTTCTCCCTGTATTACTTAGATAGTCTATTTCGCCTATGTTAGTGAAGAGGAATGGGTTAAATTTATAATTCATTTGATTTGATTTAATTTAAACAGTCAAACACCATGCGGTCACCGGTGACCGCAACCTATTGTTCCTTAATTGCGTCTATGATGACGGTACTCAACGAGTTAATTTTAATTTAATTTCGGTTAATTTCATTTCATTTCATTCAATTTCATTTAATTTAATTTCATTTCATTTCATTTCATTTCATTCAATTTAATTTAATTTAATTTCATTCAATTCCAATACATTCCATTTCATTCAATTCCATTCCATTCCATTACATTTCATTCCATTTTCATTTCATTTCATTCCATTTCATTGGATTTGATTTGATTTGTCGTATAATATACACAAGTTTAGTCTTGCATTAGCTTTATATATATTTACATTGCTAAGAGGGAAAGTGCATAATGCAATTATTTTAAGCCAGGTGAGTCTGTATGTTCCGGACAGGTACGTGTGGCGACGACGACAGCCACGACTGCTGGTGGAACCGCGTTCTCGGACTAACCTTCTGAAGGACGCGCCGCTGACGCGTGCGTTCCGCACGCTCAACCTCATAGCGAGTGAGACGGACTTATTCTACTGTTCTCTGAGTGAATTCACAAGGAATGCTTTGTTTGTAATTAGTTATAAGCAATAAGTCAGGATTAAATAGTTCGCATTTATCGCATTGGGTCATCCTGTAATGGTAAATGTAAGTAAGTAAATAAATAAATAAATAAATAAATAAATAAATAAATGTACTTAGAAATAAATACATCTTTATCTAAAACAACGTGACGTCACAATACACAATCACGTACCTACCAAATTCATACAAGACTATAGCTTTCGAAAGTCGAAAAAAGTATTAAAATTGACTATTTGGCAAGTAGGTAGTCGCAATTGGTGATTTTCTTTTGTGTAGGTAGTTGAAGGGACGGGGAAAGACATATTCTATAATAAATCAAGCTATGATCAACAAGAGCCGAGCAGCAGTTTTTTTTTTTTTTTTTTTTTTAAGGGGGGAAAATCATCGAATGACTGCCCCCGCCTGGGTGAGGCGGGAGGGAGTGTCAGACTCTTACTGACTAAAAACCACCCCGTTCCTTCTCCTGCACGTCGAGCCGGAGCCCCGGTTACCCGTTAGGTTCTCCGCGACAATCAAATTCACTAGATACTTTTATCGAAACGTCAAAAATATATCTTATGACGTCATCATATTTACGCGTCAAATAGCACACTTATATCTAGGAACACGTCGCGGAGAACCTAACTGGTTACCGGGGCTCCGGCTCGACGTGCAGGAGCAGGAACGGGGTGGTTTTTAGTCAGTAAGAGTATGTCTCCCTCCCGCATCACCCAGGCGGGAGAAGACATTCGATGATTAAAATTACACCCCTAGAAAAAGAAATACAGATATTAAAACCTTTTGATTTCACTGTACAAACCTGTCACTATCTACATACTTAACTAACA